CTACAGACAGGAAGTGAGGAGTTAACCATAACATAACAACAACAACAACAAGAATAATAACAACAACAATAATAATACCCAAAATGTGCATGGTAAAAGGAATATGTGTTAAAGTGTAAGTATCATGCATTAATCCAATGGAAACATCCCATTGGATCAGGGGGATGCTGCCTTCAGGGCACAACACAATAATACGACATCCTGCAGATCTGTGTATAAATACATGTGTCTCAGTTTCCAGGTAAACTACATCGTTATTTCGTGGAACTGTTCAAAGAAGATCCCGGGGGTTTCAATGGGTTCATTTGTTGTGATTCTGAGCGTCTCGTCCTCTCTTCACATCTGTTTCCACTGCTGGATGATTGAATGCGTCCCGCTCTGCAGCTTCTGTCTGCAGGGTTATTTATTTCCTCTCCGCTCTTTTGTTAACCTCCGTGTCGGGGTTCACTCCTCGGCTGGCTTCATGCCGCGCTATGAATTAAGTGAGGCTGTCAGCGAGCTCCCTGCTTCTCTTTCTGAGGAACAAATCCAGCTGTTGACCTGCAGCTGTTGGACTCCCGTGGCGTTGATATCAGATATGTAAACGCTCGGTGACCTGCGAGATGTCACAGTTTCGAACACTTAGAGTTATTCAGAGTTATTCACACAGATCTCCTGACTTCCTGTGCGGTCTGAGAAACGTTTCTGTTTGGATGTTCATTCATGATTTATCATTTTGTAAATGTGAGTGTAATTGTGGAGTATTATCTGGATAGTGAAATGTAGAATGTTTCATATTTGGGATGTGGCCAGTAAGTCACATGACCACAGTCAGGTCAGAGGGCATAGCCATTGCATTATGGGTAAGAGGCAACATGCCGTTGAAGTCAGTGTTCGAATTACCCATTTGCTTTCGGGGGAGCCCTATTTATTTATTTGTTGGGCAATCATATAGGCAGACCTGAGAGATGTATATGTTTCCTGCATTAGATCAACATTGATTGCCAATAGACCTCTTTTTTCTCATCTCCCAAATCTCGATCGCCTTTTTCGTGGGCCTGGCTCTTATGGTGCTTATAAATCTTTTTCCGCAGGTTCTTCTGTTGATCACTGCTGACTTTTCCCTGAATCCATTCTTGTGAAAGGTGCACTCCGGTGGATTGTTCTGCGAGCGGCAGGGAGATCAATATACTTTTTGCCTCTTTGCAAATCTTTTTTTTTAAAAGCCATGGATTCCTTTCATTCCACTCACTCCATCTTTTCTGTGTCCAGTAGGCAGTGGCAGGTCATGGGCATCGTCAGGAAAGGTTCGCTAGTGCAGGTGGCGCCGGCAGCTGTGGCCGTTGTTGAAGCCTCTTCAGGCTCCGCATCGGCAGGCCTCTCCCTCGGTGTGGAGCTGCCAAACTCGACCCTAACGCCGCTAACAGCCGGCCAACTAAAAGTTGTTCCGTTCACGTTGTCATTTTTAGACTCCTTCGCTTCTTTGCTTGTGAATCCAAAAGCTGCGAGGCTTGGCTGTTTTCGTTTCGCCATATTTTTTATTACAAAGCCAGAGTTAAAAAAATATCAATATGAACATGTCAAATACCGCGCCGGCATCCCCACCATAACCATAGCAACGTAAGTAGTGTAAAGAATGCAGCGCCGCCACGTACAGATGGCAACACCCAGAAATATTCACAAATATAAAACAAATATTCAGAAACTGTAATGAACAATAACTATTATTTATTTACAGAAACTCAACATTTATAATCTGTGTGACACAAATATGCACAATTGTTTTGGGCTCCCCTATTTATCTCAAAATCGGCCTTCAGGGGAGCTCCCTCCCTCTTCGGGGGAGTCAAGCCCCCCCTGGCTCCCCCCCATTTCGAACAGTGGTTGAAGTCATCTACAGGGTTCAAGAGCAGGGGCGGACTGGGACTAAAATTCAGCCCTGGAAACTGACCCAGTCCGGACACATGAAATGTCAAATGTTAGAAATCCGCTGTTTATTATTTAAAGTTTTACGTCCGATTCGCTCCTTTTTTCCTCTCTGTACACAGCTCCAGTTTGGGCATTGGCCTGTCATCAGATTTCATTTTGAGTTGCTGCTGTAGTAGCGGAAGTTTAGTAAAATTATTTATTATGAAATAATCCAAATCTTCACCCTCCATAATTGCACTTGCTTCAGTTGCTTGCTACTTTTTAAGGGCGGTGATGACAGTTACAGTACAAACTGAAGTTGATGCGTTTTGATTGGATTGTGAGGCATGACGTGAGCCTCATCTGATTGGTCAATCCCTCAATTTCTTTTCACCAAGGGAAGCCAATTTCGGCTAGCCTCCTCTCGCAACAGAGAGTGCAATCTACTGTTTCACCATAACATCTAGAGGGGCGCTGTTTCACTCTTTGTAAAATACTCAATGAGAATGGGGGAGAGATGGGCCGGCAGCAACACACAGCACAGAGTAATTACCGAAACTAAACGAAGTGTTTTTATTTATTTATTAAAATGATAACTACAATCCAAAAAAACAGGGGAAGCCTGGCTTCCCTTGGCCTCCAGGAGAAAACGCCACTGAGTTCAAGGGATAAATCTCACCCACCTCTTGCTCTTGCCCTGCACTTGTATGTGCCAGTTGAGCTGGTTCTTCCTCCAGCTCAACTCTGTCCCTCATCATGAACGCAGGAGGCTGGCTGTATATCTGAACTCGCGCCCTCATCATTCTCTTCATCATCTTGCACTTGTTCTAAGCTGCTGATGATAGTGCTTGTAGCACAGGGTTGCCAACTTTGGGTACCTGGCTGGAGTGAGATTTTGATATCATGGGTTTAATTCGGTTTAATTACACATATGCGCACGAAATGACTGCTATCGTGTCAGCAGCGGGACCTTAGCATATATATAGGATATATATACAATATATACAAATACACAATATTGGACACAGACTATAAAGGGCACACAGTTTCATTCACTAATGAAAGTCAAACATGTTTGTTTCCACTGTTTTATTGTGTGCCTGTCGCGATAAGCAATTAATTGACTTATCGTACGATAAATAAAAATGAACTCGATAACTTTTCTGACCTCGATAAATTGCCATTTACATGAGGATGTGACTAGCAGTTTGAAAGGATGTACTTGAATTATTATTATATATTATCATTATGTCAGTGGTCTAAAATGGTCATACAACGGTGCCGACAATATTATCGTTTATCGCAATAATTTCCGGGAAAATGTATCCAACAAAATTAATTATCGTGAGAGGCCTATACATGAAACACACACACACAAACAAATCTACAGACTTACTCCAAACTGCCAAATATATTAATTAACACACTCTCACTCTCATATACTCTTTGACTCTATTTTGGCCTAGTAGAACAATAAGCAGCAGACTTTTACTTTTTTATCATTTCTACTGGATCTTAGACCTGCGCATGCGCTCCAGAGTATTTTTGTTGGGTAATCTATGGTAGTGTTAACCGATACAGTGGTGGGGCTCAAGTCAGTATTTGCAATGTAATTACATACACCAGGGGTCCCCAAACTTTTTCCTGTGAGGGCCACATAACTTTTCCCTTCTCTGATGGGGGCCGGGGGCAGTTTGTAACAGAAAAAGTGTGACGATCGCAGGGGTGCCTAAACGTAAACATTTATTGTTTTCCAGAAAGCCACACATAACCAAATATTAATAACCTTTTCCGGGATCTTCACAGAAAAAAAGTCAGGAAATAAATAATAACACTATTAATGAAATAAATAATAACCAAATAACCCTCTCTGGGTTCTTCACAGAAAAAAAGTCCACTGAACATTAACTTTCTGTTGTGCCGTGCACAATCTTAACAGGTAAAAGTTTAGCTTAGTTGTCAGAGCAGAATCTCTTACTCAAATGACTCATATGAGCAGTCTCTCAAAGTTCTTGTGTTCCTTCCTTATAATCCTTTTGTAGGTTCCAGTAGGCTTGTAGACACCGCTGTTTGCAGCTCTCTCTCATCAACTTCCCTGTGAAAACCACAAAGCAAGCAGGCTGAGAAACCGAACTAAGTGATACAGCACCTACACTGAGGTAATGGTTTTTGGAGCCAAGGCAGAACGTATAAAAGTTAGCGCTGAGCTTCAGTCTGCAATGTTCAAAACAACAGATAGAGCCAGAAATCTAGGTGTAGTCATGGACTCTGACCTGAGTTTCAACAGTCACATTAAAACAGTTACTAAATCAGCCTACTATCACCTAAAGAACATATCTAGGATTAAAAGACTAATGTCACAGCAGGATTTGGAAAAACTTGTCCATGCTTTTATCTTCAGTAGACTCGACTACTGCAATGGTGTCTTTACAGGTCTCACTAACACATCTATTAGAAAGCTGCAGCTAATTCAGAACGCCGCTGCTCGAGTCCTCACTGACACTAAGAGAGTGGATCACATCACTCCTGTTCTGAAGTCTTTACACTGGTTCCTCACTGACACTAAGAAAGTGGATCAGTCCTGTTCTGAAGTCTTTACACTGGTTCCTCACTGACACTAAGAAAGTGGATCACATCACTCCTGTTCTGAAGTCTTTACACTGGTTCCTCACTGACACTAAGAAAGTGGATCACATCACTCCTGTGCTGAAGTCCTTACACTGGCTTCCTGTGTGTCAAAGAATAGATTTCAAAATATTGTTGCTGGTTTATAAAGCTTTGAATGGTTTAGGCCCAAAATACATGTCTGACCTACTGCTAAATTATGAACCATCCAGATCTCTCAGGTCTTCAGGGACTGGTCAGCTTTCTGTCCCCAGAGTCAGAACTAAACATGGAGAAGTTCAGTTATTATGCTCCAAACATCTGGAACAAACTCCCAGAAACCTGCAGGTCTGCTGCAACTCTTACTACTTTTAAATCCAGGCTGAAGACTTTTCTTTTTGCCGCTGCTTTTAATTGAACTATTCACATCTTAAACTGCACTGTAACTTTTAACTTTTATCCATGTATGTTTATTTTATTATCTTTTCTTTTTAATGACTGATTTTAAA